ACGTTCAGTTCACGTTCGCCCAAAATATGAACGAGTTCATGAACTTTCGTTCAATGAACGTGTTCAGGCACAACACTGACTAACTGTACCTGCTCTCCTTCATCGTCTGACATGGAAGCTGGCTTGGAGCTCGCCTGCCTGGCTGTGTGTATCCTGAATGAGGCCGCCTGCGGAGCTGGTTGATAGTTGCCTTTTGTATCTCTTCTTCTTTTTCCATCTCTGCTTCTGTCTCCTTGAACCCCAGTCTGCCTCAACAGATGACGGCTCACACGGAGCCTGGTTCTGCTGGAGGTTTCTTCCTGTTAAAGGGGAGTTTTCCTCTCCACTGTCGCTACAAGCACGCGTAGTGTGAGGGATTGCATTCGAGTCAATGAGTCGATGCAATCAACTGGTTTTCCTTAGATAAAAAACTTTTAATCAATTTGACTGTATGATCTGGTTTAATTGTCTCTGTAAAGTACCTTGAGATGACATGATGTGAATTGGAGCTATAAAAATAAACTGAAATTAATTTAATTTATCATGTGGAGTCATTAAACTATGTCTACCTTCACTTTTCTATAATTTACATTTAAACTGTGGTGGACAAAGTACTCAACTCATGGTCAAATCTTCCTTAACTACAAGTAAAAGTTACTTGTAGCAAGTTAAAGTATTGAAGTACTCACTTTTGAAAATATTTAAGTATTCAAAGAACATGCATTTAAAAAAGTATTCAAAGTAACATATTACATTTTCTAATCTAAGCACATTTCTTTATAATTTTCACAGTAACTATAGGTAACTTTCAGGAACCACCTGATGTATTGAGGCGTAGATCCACCTGTTACAGATTCTAAACCACCAGGAAAGAACTTTGGCATAAAAATACCACAAGAAACAGAAAGCTAGTTTGATTTTTATGTCTAATTATAAAAAGAAATCACTAAGAAAGCAGGCGTGTCTTGATTCTCCTCAGACTTTTAACGTGGAATAGTTTGATGTTGAATCTATTACCACAAAGAAACTATAACTGCTCTGAGAACCCATCATACTGAACACTTAGACACATGTGAACAACTAGCACATTATTGAAATTTATAACCTACAAATAATATCTGCCCTAAATCTCTAAAACTGTGTTTTCCAAAGTCAGTCCTAAGTGCTGCTATCTGCTATGTTGAAATTGCATCTCCAGAGAGAAAAATAGCAGCAGCTGGAATTGGTGTTAATTCCAGCTTCCTGAAAATGTAATCAAATAAATATATTGTGTTACTTTCTGTATTTAAGGGTTAAAAAATAAAGTAATGCATCGATTAGTAAACATCTTTTATTAAAGGCACACCATGTAACGTTTGGCTACTAAGGCCGCTACACTTGTAACTGCCTGAATTTTGCTTCTACTAAAAATCAAACATCATAACAAAGATATATAACTGTATCCTAGAGGCAAAGTGTTAACTTACCAGTCTAATAATAAAGTTGAGGGAAGAGAATCAGTTTTACAGCTGTTTTCTTCTTCTATCTGCCAACAAATAAACTTTCCAAGATGGACTCTTGTTTTTCCTTGCACACTTTTTAGTGTACCTTTTTGAGTTTGAAGCCCACTCCCACAGACTGCTACTCTGGCCTCTGAGCAAAGACCCTTAACCCCCGATTGCTCCCCATGCGCCCTAAGATGGCAGCCCAATGCTCCCCAAGGGGATGGGTTATATACAGAGGTAAAATTCTACAATATGAGATCAATACAGTGAAATCATTATTAATTATTATTATAAGATTTCAAACCTCTGTTTTTATTTTTTACATTTTTTTAATATTAAAACCACAAACGGTATTTTAAAATACCTGAATGCTGCTTTCTAAGTGGCATTTCCTCTTTAACGGATCTAATAAATAAGGTTCTCTAAAACACCTCTGAAACATTCATGCAACAGCTGTAGACACATGTAGTAGAGTCGTGGTAATTATGGCCACAAGTTTTTTACTGATGAAGAGACCTCAAGATGCAGCTGGTATCACAATATTTTATTTCAGAGTATCGTAGTAAACAGGGTAAAAATGCAAGAAAACCAATTTTGGGTTTCATCTGTTTGAAAATACAATAAAATCAAAGCAAACAATGCATCTTTATCCCTATATTTAAAATCACATCTGAATCAAACACAGTGTTGGAACATGACAAAAGTGGACGAGTTCAAACCGTATGACTAACTGTATTTGCTTTATGTTCAATACTTAAGCATCTTACAGCTCTCCGTCTCCAGAGCTTTATTATTTGCTGTATAGCAAGAAGAAAAACAATGGAGTGATCTCATGTCCTCTTCAGACAGTCTCCTTAGGTCTGTTTCACAGCAAAGTAGAAGCAGCTCTAAGGAGCAGAGATAAGGCTCTGGAATGTTTTCGGATGACTTGTGTTTGTGGAAAAAGTCTTAGAAATAGATTGAACCAGATGCTCTAAAATAACTCAGTTTTTCTGATTAGCTGGAAAAGGCCTCAGGGAGAGATGAGATGCGTGCTTCACGTACACGTTGCCATCCACCAGCTTCACCTCATAAACTTGTTGCTGTCAAAATGAAAACAAGACAAAAAGTCAGAAGTGGCAGAAAACAATTAACTATCTAAGACAAGAATTATGTTTTAAAAAATGATGTAATCTTCCTGTTAAAAAAAGTCAGACCACAGTTAAATATTTACTTCATTTGAATAAGACAGAAGGGCAGTTAAACAGACAAGTTGTTTTTTGTGGTATTGGTGTTACTTTGATTACAAACAATGTAAATTTGTGTTAATTCCTTAATTCAGACCAAATGTATTGAACTAGAAACTGCCTATTTTTACATTGCTTTTGGACACTTACCATGATCTGGATTTATGAAATTTTAGAAAAGGATAATTTTTACATTTTTTTCTAGTTTTTAAACTCTGATTATTGTAAATATTGTTATTGCCAATTTGTTTGTTTATTTGCTGTAACAAAGACATTTCTTAGGCACAGATTTACCAGATACACTTTTTTAATGCCTCCTATTATTTATTTATTTTCAAATCATGATCTTGATCTGCACAAAATCAGCATATGTAGATACAATTAGCTTATGTGAAGAGAATTAAGAACATTGAACTTATAAGGGTTTTATTGGACCCTATACCTCTAATGATGTCCCAGACTTCCCAGTTTTGAGGTCGTAACCATAGTCATGCCAGGGGCAGAAGACCCTCAGGACCCCATCAGCCTCTTCGATATCCCCCTCACACAGAGGACCACCTGAATATGCAGGAAACAGCTAAAGTATGAGGCTAAGTTACGCAAGAGGATTAGGTTCACTGGAAGAAAAACTAACAAACAAACAAAAAAAAAAACAGTCAACTGATTTTGTATTTATTTTAATATGGGGAAAAAAGTCAGAATTTTGACTTTAATCTCAGAATTCTGACTTTTTATACAGAAGAGGATCATGGCCATTATAAAAAAGTAAAAAGAAAGTTAAATGATAAAAAAAAAATAATAATAAAAAAAATCAGTTTAATATGGAAAAAGTCCAATTCTGAGGGGGGGAAAAAAAAATCAAAATTCTGACTTTCATCTCAGAATTCTGAACCAATGCAAGAAACAAGAGATAGAGAAACTAACCCAACCAAAACACCAATATATCACCAAAGCTATAATCTTACAGCATTCATCTAAGCACAATTGCAAGGAGAAAGTGAGAGAAAAGCCAGAAAATACTTCTTGAACAAAAACGCTGCAGGCTTAAAAAGAAAAACAGCAAGACATGCATAAAACCGAATATTTAAAAGAGGTACACATTTAAATTCACAAAGTAAAACAGCATAATCTCCCTGGAATATGTAGTCTGATTATATTTCATCCAATAAACAGTGGCGACAATTGGTAGCAATTTCCCACACCCAGACGACAGGGGGCAGAGTATTAGCTGTTGCTTTTTTTCTCAAATTCTACACATTCAGTTCAATTTACACAATCCATCACGTTAAAAGCATACATGTTTACAACATGTGCAGCACGTCAAATCTGTGGGTTGTTTTTTTTTGTTGTTGTTTTTTTTTTACCGGAGTGAGCGCAGCGAGCGTCCATGGCGAAAAACTGCCGCTGGACATAAAAGAGGCAGACATCGCTGTCGCGGCCGAGAGGAGAGAACATTAGACGGCAGGGCTTCTTGGAAAGCTCCGAGGCCGGCCCGACCAGTCTCCACGCAGCGCCGCTCGTGTTCCCGCCATCATCCTCCGAGCCAGAAGCCATAAAAAACCGCGGGGGTTATATGGTTTCCTAATTTGAATAAAACGGACCCGTTTTATTCTCACGGGTCGCTCAGCTCTCTGGCTGCTGGCGCTAAACATTTAGTCCATATTTAACCATCATCCACTGGGACTGAACTGCTGCTGCTGCTGCTGCTGCAGCAGACAGACAGACAGACAGACAGACTACCGACAGGCAAAAGGACTGATGCAGCCTGACTCCTATTTGCTATAGATAGATAGATAGATAGATAGATAGATAGATAGATAGATAGATAGATAGATAGATAGATAGATAGATAGATAGATAGATAGATAGATAGATANTAGATAGATAGATAGATAGATAGATAGATAGATAGATAGATAGATAGATAGATAGATAGATAGATAGATAGATAGATAGATAGATAATTATAGTCTCTGATATTTTCAATAGCTCAGCATCCACCAACAGTACTTGCGTGTTTTATTGCCAAACAGACCCAGCCAGACACTTCCTGTTCTTAGATTATAGGGTCAGTCTGTTTCTAAAAATGGAGCCCTCTCTGTAATGCTTTGTTGGTGGGATATTGAGTTGATTAGAAACAGATTTTTAGCAGATTGTGTGGTGAATGTGAAACATAACAATTCATGTTCCCTATAAATATTTCAAAAGCACGCCTATAATAAGATAAAGAGCCTGTGATTGTATGATTTGGCTGTTTTTCATTTGTGCTGAGGATTTTCCATTTAGATTGTTTGATGTATTTTCAGCATTGTCATTTTATTAAACATGCATCAAAGAAGGAGATAATAGTAAACATTAAATATTTCTTAACAATTTAACTGAAATCAATTAAACTTAACTGTATTATAATCTATAATCTTAACCCTTTCTGTACAAAGTGAGGCACAGCTTCAAATGTTTTAGGAAGAAAGAGGTCAAAATGTGGAAAAATATACAACATTAATGATTAATTCAGCATATTGTTAGGAGTCCTAACATTATGCCGAATTAATCATTATCCCAACTTAGGACCACTGAAATGTAAAATGAATGGGGATTATACTTTTTTATTATTGACCTTCTTCCTTATGCAAGGAACATGGGTGCCAAAGGCTCAACGGGAGTGAAAGCTGGCTTGTTTTCTTCTTTCAAAAAGAAAAACTTCTGTAGCTTGAACTGGGAAAGAAAGAAAGAAAGGTGTGCTAATGATGTATATAAGAAAGAGAGATGTGTATGAAACTGCATATACTGTAAAGCTGCAGATCAGTCAAGCCATCCACCCAGCCATAGAGCTCATTTTGAAAAAGATTCAAAATGAGCTCTATGGCTGACAACTGCAGGCTGACAGAACAGAAAAAGACTCCTGGATTGGTGTGGATACGTCTTGATAAAAAAACGTTGCCTCCCATTTCAGCCTGTTTTGTACCTGAGCTTTAACCCTTCATGTGTTTGATGCCATGTCAGATCGGTTCCAGGCTTTTTATACTTCATGCCAAGTCAGTTTCTTTTGTTCACTCCGGTTCAGCTCCTCTTCTCAGATGTTTTTTAATATCAATTCAATCTTTTTTCAATCTACCATGCTGTCTTCACCGGCCTGTCTGCACTGGGGTCGTACTCTTGAGAACCATTATGAAAACTGTGTCATATAACTACTAAACACAATGACCTGACTGCTGAGTGTGGGAAGCAGGAGGTCACATGACTTGGTATGACTCTTTATGTACTAAAAAGGTGAGGAGAAAAACATGGTAACCAGGCAGAGGTGCTGAACCTGGACTACGCTTACCTTTGGTAACATTTCTAAACTAAAGAAACCAAATTCCCAGAAAACAGTGCTCTCATACTGGAGAGAGTCTGCTCTTATTAAAAGTCTCTGTAAATAATAGAGTCATAGTATAAATACATAAATGAGATAAGTAATTAGTTAGTTTTGTTCGTTAATAAAAAAGACAAAGCTCTGACACGATTAATCTGTAGCTACTTGTGAAAATCACAACAAAGGGTTCTCTGTTATTTTTTATTCTTTGCTGTTCTGGTCTATTCTGTCTATTCTATTATGATCTGTTCAATTATTTTCTGTTCTATTTAGTTCGTTCTACTCTGGTCTACAGTATTCCATTCTATTCTATTCTACTGTATTCTATTCTATTGTGTTTTGTTCTATTCAATTCTGTTCTATTCTATTGTGTTCTATTGTAGTCTATTCTGTTCTGTTCTATCTTATGTTGTTACATTCTTATCTATTTTCTATTCTGTTTTGTTCTGTTCTATTCTCCTTTAATAATCTCAGCAGGATGAACTGACACAGCAAATATGTTCAGGATCATTTTGAGGAGCATATTTATAGGCTTTGCAGGCTCCAGACCTCGATCCCGATGAACATCTATGGTATGTGCTGCACAAACAAGTTTGAAGAAACAAGGTGAAGCTGCACCTCAGAGCTTGCAGGATTTAAAGGATCTGGCACTGACATCTTGGTGCCACATACCACAGCAATGCTTCAGGGTGTCAAGTGGAGTTCTTCCTGCAGAGGGTCGGGGTAGTTTACTGATCAAAGAGGGTCCATCACATGTAACATTACTGCTGATCGGTGTATGTTTGTTCATGTGACTTGTTGTTTCTATTCCTTTATTAAGCTGGAAATAATGAAATTCAACATTTCACCCCTGAGTGATGAAAGGTAGTGTCTAGACTAGTGTGATCCAAAACAAGCGCAGCTTGTTCTAATCCGAGACATTAAAAATCAGAGTCATGTAAATGTGTAGCCTGAGCTCAGAGCAGAAATATAACACTTAGAATGTCTTAGAGGTGGGAAAAACATTCAGAAGCTGGATCTCTACAAAAGTAAATCAGAACAAAACAGAAGGCCAAGATAAAGAAATTTGAGCTTTTATAATTATGCTTTGTTCTAGGCAGACATAGATCCAGCTGTGTTCTTTATGGAGTAGCTGTTAAAGTAGTTTCTCTCTGACATCTAAGTAACAATGTTTTGATTTTTCTATTTTTCTCTTGTAGCTATTGCAAAGCCTGATAAAATACCAACACTGAACATAAGAAATTACAAGGCTGCATGTCATAGACATTCTGAAAGTTTTAAAAAATATGTGGAAATACTACACAGAAAACCCAAACAATCCAGAAGTAAAACACAGCTGGAAATGTTTTAACCTTTCTATGACAGGTAGATTTGCTCATGGCGCCTCCTGCTGTGCAGCCACGTTTGGTTGATTCAACTTATACTCTGAGCTTTAAGTGGGTATCATATTTTAGACATCAGAGTGACAGGTTGATGGAATGGGTCCAACAACAATCACATAATATTATACAGAAGAGGTTTATGCATGTTTGAGGTTGTACTGACATCTCTGCATTGCTTTACGTTGCTGTGCCGGTTTGGTTGCACATCGTTTGATCCAAATGCACAGATTCAGATATGACCTCCAGCAGGCTCATATGGCATTTACAGGAGGGAAAATTGTTCGCATTAACAGAGATGAAAACAATGCATAATCAGCTGCATGGATGGAAATGAATAAACAAAGGTGCAGAGAGTCAAAGGCAACCAGCAACATAAATTCCTTTAACTTCTCAGTACAGCACTCTGACCACTGTACAGTGTAACTGCATTGGACAAAATATGGTGTGAAGAAAATCTGGCACAGAGAAGGTAGAAGATGGAAAACAGAGCCAAAACACATCCATCATTAGCTTCATCTTGTCCACAACCAAGCTGCTCTCAGAAGGACCCCAGCTCCTCTGGAAGAGCACTTCTCCAGTCAATATGGTTTTCATTAACAAGGCAAACGGTCGGGCCTGCTAAGAATCCAGTTCCTCCTTGCAATGCTTCTTGTTCCAATAAAGCTTGTCATTCACTTATTAAAAACCATTTTTACAGACAGGACTAATAATAATTTCTTTGATTCTGATTTATTGGAAATAAAAAGTATAATCAGAATTTCTTAAATGGGTTGTTTTGTACAGTTTTTTTTATGATGGTTGTTTATACTGAAATTCAAATTAAAAAAATCAGCCCCTCTAAAACAACAAAAACAAAAAAAATATTATAAGTAAAAGCAGTAATGGATATTAAACAATTAAAACATAAATCACAAAGTTGACTGTTGAATATACATTGTTTATTTTACTTGTTTATACTGACGCATTTCTTCCCGGATCAAACGACTCGGCAAACAACCCGTGTATAAATTGCCTCCGCTCTGATCAGCAGGCATGCTACAGCTGGGTTGACACGCTAAATTACATGGCACCATTGAACGCAACGTATGGACACTAACACACTGCACCAGTCGCTTCTTATCTAACAACCCGAAACAACTCTGTTTACATTTGATAAACATAAGGCAGCGTTGTTGAGAGAGATTCGGAAAGATAATAGAGCGAACCAATAAAGCACACTGACTACTTCCTGGCTTCATTACATGTGGCTCTCCATTGTTTACTTTCCTGATTTCTGTCACACTAATTACATCATCATTGCTAACCCTGCATGATGGCATCACCACACATGCAGAGGCCAAACAGCTGCCAGCGAGGGGTTAGACGCAGCTTTTTTTGCCAGTGGGTAAGATATCTCAGAAATCCAAAACATGCAAGAAACCCAAAACATACCAGAAAAGTAAAAGACTTGCAACCCTACAGGTCTAATTGTGATAGCGCACAGTACCGTGACCATCCAACTACAGGCTCGATTTAGTGGCACATCAAATGTTTGTAAAGTAAGCTTCTCATTGTCAATCACACAACGAAAGACAAATGGCCAATTAGAAGCTTGTGGACAGCCTAAACTCGGGGAAGCAGGGTTGAGCATGAGCTAGAGTTTTCTGTTTGGTCCTAGAGCTCGACAAGTGTAGTCGTATTGTAGCTTAACATTTTTTTTGACAGCGAAAAGTCCACCCACCGAAAAAATAAAAATAAAAAATTACGTCAGTGGAGTCGATCCAGTTTGATAAACATGTATTGACCCGGTATTTTCAATATAAAGAGGGTTGAGAGAGACCTTGGGAATTTACTAATCAGATATCAAACCAGACCCATTTAACTCTTTTCACTGAGGAGAAGTACCGGCTCTGTTTTGGGTTACCCACAGAATAATGCAAGTTTGCAGGACTGTTTATTTTGTCTTTTTCTGTCCTGC